CAGCCAGCCTTGCTGGCTGGGGAATCCTGGGAGTTGAAGTCCACACGTCTTCAAGTTGCCAAGGTTGAGAAACACTGGACTGATGTATTGATTGCATTTCTACTCACTCCTGGCAGTTTACAATATTGTCAAATACACAAAATGTCCTCAGTATAGTAATAATACTAATTGAAACTGAACATTGAAAAGTGCAAGAGAATCCATTAAAAACATCAGCAGTAACAAGGAAGAGGTGCCGTTCAGTAAATAGATGGGGACATTTCCTAACTCAAAAGTTCTCCTAAATTTGATTTTCATTTTGAAGTTTATGAATACCAAAGGGCAGGTCTGCCAACAGAGAAACAACAAACCCCATCTCCTTTCCTTGAGAAAGTGGGGAACTATGAGCAGGTTCTCCAGGGATATATCAGTGATAGCTGCCTGCTCTGACCTCTCTTTCTTACACTCACCACAGTAATTGTGCTTGTACACTTATCCATGGTTAACAGAACCCTAGTTTACTCAGCCCAATTTTCTGATTTCACACAACACCCTAGACCAGTGTTTCTCAACCTCAGCAACTTGAAGATGAGTGGACTTCAACTTCCACAATTCATGGCTGGCTGGGGGTTTCTGGGAGTTGAGGTCCGTACATCTTCAAGCTGCCAAGGTTGAGAAACCCTGCCCTGGATCCTAAATTAACCCCATGGGTGGAGATCACACAACAAGCTAGACTAAAATGTAGCTTGGCTAGCTTAGGGTCAGGGGGAGATCATGTGAACCCAGCCAGCGTGCCAGTATACAGTAGTGAAAAGTCTATGTCTTAGATTTAAATATTAGGGATATTTTTTTCCCAGGCCACCTACTCCGCAGGGCTGTAGTGATGATAAAATGGGATGGAGGAGATCACGTCGGCGGCCTTGAGCAACTGGAGGAGGCGCAGGACAAAGAAGCCATCCAATAAATATATTATTTGCTCCATCACAGCTAATCGAGATGGAGGCAAATCTGTTGCTGTGACTTCTAGTTTATTTAGTCTGGAATTGTAAACTGCAGAAAATAGAGGAGCTCTGACAGGGATATGCAGCTGCTTTAAGACACCCTCAGACCTCAGTACATTTCCCCCAAGGAGGCTTAATCTACTTAAACCCCTAATAACCTCAGGGCAGGAAATAACCGCATTGACTGGAATTTTGGCCCTGCTGCAAAACAGGACCCAGAGTTTCTACATAGGGGAAACGCCAGCATTAGGCAATTAAAGAGCCAGCCCCAGAGAAAGAAATGCCGAGTTTTACCTCCAAAACCAGCATCCCAGTTTCGGTTGGGATCTACTCCAACGCACCTGCTGCCGGGAATCTTGGAGCGGGTTTTTCTCCACATACGGTTCTGAACGTGAAAAAGAAAGTGGAGCCATTGGAAGTGACAATTTACAAAAAAGAAGTCATTGCAAAAGACCAAGAGGCTCTAGAATGGTGTTTCTCAACTGCGGCCACTTGAAG